TGAGTGAGTCGGTCCCTCCTTCAGGAGCATCAGGGCAGCCCAGCAAAGTGGCAGGGTCACAGCAAGGGTTCAGAGGCTACAGGGAACCTGTCTGGCCTGTCCCCTCTCAGATACACTGAAGTCCAGTTCACGCTCATTTATTGTACCAGGTACCAGCCTGGTCGTCAGCCTGCTGGAGAGTTTGGGGGAAACCCTGAAGTCCGTTTGCAAAACCTGTGTGCAGATGAGCAACAGTCAGCCAAGTCAGTGACAGGGTGGAGGATGCACACAGTGGGTGTGCAGGCCTGGGAGGGAGAAATGAGAGTCACGTGGTGAAACAAAGAGATTCACGGGATTCTTCAGTGGGCCAGTTTTCATTGCCATAGACCTGGGTTTGATCGCTGGTCGGGAACTAAGATCCCACAAGCCTCAGGGTGTAGCTCCCCACCCCACCCCCCAAAAAATAAGAAACAAAGGGATTTTTTTTTTTTAAGTCCTTCTCTGAATGGCGCTCGCCCAAGCATGGTCCCTCACCAATGGTCCCTCACTTGCCGCCCCCAGGGGCCTGCGAAGCTTCCTTGGCGTGCTCCACCTGCCACGTGTATGTGAGTGAGGACCACCTGGACCTTCTGCCGCCTCCTGATGAGAGGTGAGCAGGGTGGCCCCCTCCCAGCTCTGAGCTGCAAGGCTTGGTTGCTGAGCCTCGGCATTCCGGAATCCGCCCAGGCCATAGCAGAGGGCAGCCCCAGCTTTTCTCTCCCCTCAAGCTGCTGGCGGGAGAGCTTCCCTTCTGGCCCCTACCCCTGGACCCATTAACAACTTGCTACCGCCCTTTACCCCAGGGAGGACGACATGCTGGATATGGCCCCCCTCCTCCAAGAGAACTCCCGGCTGGGCTGCCAGATCGTGCTGACGCCTGAACTGGAAGGGGCCGAATTCACCCTGCCCAAGATCACCAGAAACTTCTATGTGGATGGCCACGTCCCCAAGCCCCACTGACAGGCGCAGCTGGACGGTCCCAGGCACTGATGACCCCAGGGCCAGGACTGGAAGAACACAGCCAAGATGCCAGCCCAGCCCAGGGCGCGGACAGATCCGAGAGAGATGGCGGAAGCACCCAGAAAGTCAAAACCCTGGCTTCAGAGAGATCCCATGTCCCAGCTCTGGTGGGGCCAGGTCCCCTATTGGGGCCGCCTCAACCAAGCTCCTGAGAATGGCGGTGTGGATAGGGGTGGAATCTAATTGGAGCGATAATAAAACTGTCTCACAGATAACCTAGCATCTTGAGCGTCCTTGGGGCTGGTGGGAGTGGGGTGCAGGCTCTGGGGTCTACAGCTGCATCTTCCAGACCTCCCCAGCTTTCCCCTACCACGGCGGTGATGGGCCAGCGGGAAACTGAGGCAGAGATGTCTGAAGACGAGGTTCCGGGAGCCAGAGGATCAGCCTGGCAAGGCCCCGCCCCGCCGTCGCGGAGGGATTTGGAGGGCCCAGGCCGCCCTTGGCTACAAGGGGTAATCAAGTAGTCTGAGCAGACTCGGAAGGGAGCGAGGGACCCAGGCGGGCCTGAGGGTGGAGTCTTGAAAGCCCGTGCCCAACATCGCCCGCTAGAGGCGCCCAATCCTACTGGCCAGCCCTGCCCCCGCGCCCCCAGGTGGAGCCTCTTGCACCCTCGGCCAGAAGCGGACCCCCCCACGCAGGTGGGGCTCATCAAGTGGGCCCGGTGTGGGCGGGGCCAGGCCAGATTTGGGAAGGGGGGCTGGGCTAGGAGGCAATGGAGGCCGAGCCATCCCCGGACTTCGCCATGCTGCGAGAGCTGCTAGCGCCGCCCTATCTGAACTCCGAGCCGCCCCCGGAACCCCCGATCCAGCAGACACCAAGGACCCCAGGATGCCTCAGACCCAGCGGCAGGTGCGTTCACGAGCAGCCCTTCCCCCCGCCTGGCCCAGTGGTCAATGGGTCGTGATCTCTGGT